TAACGATATGAAATATGTGACGAATAACCGAATTCTCAAGTAGTAAGTTAAGGACAATACGTGTGCCTAGGAATTCGCATAGACCAAACACGCGCTTTTTTAAGAGGAAGGCAAATGGGATTGTCGTTTACCCCCAAAATGCGTTCAGTTGCCCATGTTCCATAAAACTTAACTAATTCAGAAAGGTTGACTTATACGCTCAACTCTATCACGTATTCATCGCACAAATCGAACAAACTTTTGCTCGTATCCGTGTCCATTCATCGCGCTTAGGCGTATGGTCACGTGACGTTCCCAAAAACGGTTGTGCGTGTGCAAGCGTGTCAAAGTGGCTATATGCACACGCATACGCGCCGTGTACGGAACCGCTTCGTCTGGGCACGTCCGCGATCTCCATCTCTGTCTTGCTCACGTTTGTCCCCTCCCTCCACTNCTACAATGCCTGCCTGAATTCACCCAAACGCTCGTCTCCCATCTGTCCCTCCGTCCATCTATCGCCATCACGTTCACTCGCTCGCCTGCCCGCCCGCTTACCCGATCGAGCGGACGATGATGACGACGACCGAGTCACCCTGTTCCCCCTCACACCGCCAGTCCTATCAACCCCAAACTAAGCGATCTATTGATTCGAGTTTACCCGATCGATACTTCTTGTTTGGCTGTTTGACTCTCCACTTGCCTGGACGATTGTCTGAACGGGTTCCCATTTATTTCCCCGTTCATCTATTCCTAACCCATTCACCCCCATCCCCAATTCATCCTATCCTCTCACAGCTTTTTCTTCACTGTGAACAACACTATCCTGTTCGATTTTCTCAGACTTGATAGCACAAGAACCAGATGACAAATGCTACGTTGCTAGTGCCTGTTATACCATGATAGCAAGCACACATGTGGGTCCGAATAGCAATTGTGTTAGAGTACACACACACACACCCATACAGGCGATCATCACTGACCAACTGGGTGTTCAGAAGGGATTGCAATCAATATGTGCTGTCCCGTACCGCGGTTTCGTGATAGTTCATGAATTGCTTGATTTGCAATTGCACATCCGCCACGTTAGACGACGATTCCGTCGGCATAACCCGACTACTGGTGATGAGGTTAGATGGCGTACGATATTTGTCGAGACATACTGGGTGGAAGAAAGCTTAAGGTTGTCGGGATAAGATCTGGCATGACAGTACGAAAACTGTGGTCAGCGAGTTGCGTTTGATTTCTTATTTGGCATCTCGTAATCAACCTAATCAATGACTGGGTACAATGAGGGGAGGTATGACTGAGTGACGTTTGTGCATCTACTTACTGCATATGCAAATCTTGTCCAATTGTTACCGTATTTTAAAAAAAATCCTATTCATATTCTCATATTCTAACTGTTCTTTTAACTCCTTTCTAAATGGTCACTCAAGCCCTCACTGATCGACCAAGTGAGTACCAGAATCGTGTCACGACATTGATTAATGGATTGTACGAGCTTGAAACTATGAGGAAAAATAATCAGTAGGACAAATCAAATCTGTTAGGAGACAAAGCCTTGCCATTGTCTGTATTCACTTCATCTTGACTTGTTTACACAACCAATTCAGGAATCTGGTAACATTGCCTAAGTGCAATCTAGGCCTCAGAATGTCGAGTCGATTAAATTGGATGAGCATTACAATTGAAGAGGGGCAGTGTGTGTCTCAGTTAGTTAGTTCAGATGTCATATGGACTCTAATTGGAAAACGTAGCGCTACCTACTCGATCCAGTTCACCCGGGTAAAACCGCAGCAACAACTACTTACGCTCGAAGTTCAGCAGTTAGACAAACGGCCTAGTTCTCATTAACGCAAAATCCTGTTTTTAGGTTCTCGTTTCGTGCACTCATCCCCTGTATGACACTTTTTATTGTTCACAAACCTTCCACATGCAATGGAACAGCACATGTATTTCTCATAAAAAACTAACATTATTTACGCGTGTAATGTGAATACGGGAGAATGTATAATTGTTTTTGAGCTTATATCCTTCGTCATGCATCCCCATCCTACCTCAGTCCTGACTGACTGACTACCATATCATGAACCAACCACCTAGCTTCGAGCTGTATCTGGAGCTAGATGATCTCACCGATCGATCAGCAATCCCCGATCGACCCTGGATTTGAAACACTGTCTCACTGTCTTGTGCTAATTTGGAATGATCTGTTGAAGGGTCTGGATGCACTCGCGCATTATCAAACTCCCGTGCTAACCAAAGTATCCTAGTAGTGCAATAGCCCTCGGCACTGACAGACTGACAATGAACACATTTCCCTTACAGCATTTATTCGCCATGGAAGGTGTATTAAAATCTTAATTCATTGGGAAGCGGGTACTGAAAAGCTAGGAAGCACTCATTGCACAACTGTTTCGACCTGATTTGGTCTCATCCGTGCAGTGCGAATCCATCAACCCCGCTGAGGATCAAACCCGGGACCGCACAGGTAGAACACACACACCTGAACATGTCTATCTTTGCGAGCTTTTTGCTTAATCAAGTCTCAACAGTTGTACAGAGTTTCCTAACTTTTCTGCTCACGCTTCATTTGCTGTACACCCGACAAAATCCTACATATGATCGACAAAAATTATCTACCCCTCTCATGTCATTGAATTCCGTCCGATCGTTTTAATATTCCCTCAAATAGCACAAGGTTTGGAATAAACGACTCGAGACAACGCGCTCATAGCATTTGTGCATGTTAATAAAAATTGTTACACAGTAGTAGAAATTCTCCACTTAGCTACGTATACGTTCTTATCAAAGTAGAATCTTCAACCCCGTTCTGTTAGATATACAGTGGCGAACTGAACTCCAGATGAGGTTGAACTGATTTGTATGAAAAGTAAGTAAATGAAAAGGTTCACTGTTGGCAATGAATTCGATAAGTACCTTCGATCCGATAAGTTCCATATACTAGTTGATTACAGTTTAACATCATCCACA